TATATATAAAAGGTTATATGATCTACGATAAAGGTCCCTGTAATAAAAGTGCTGTGCTATTGAGGTGATTATTCTAGTTCGATGTCTTTGTATCATAAGCAGAAAATGTTAGGTGTCCTTTCGGATAGTAAATGGGACAGAAATTCCGGGGAAGGTAGAAAACGGAATAATGCTAATTTATCTTCTTTCTGCTGCCGTCAAGTATTGACTCAGATGGCTGATCGTCATTACGAAGCGCCGAGTGCACACACCTTATGCCCAACAAGGCTGCCTCGCATGTGTCTAACTTGAAATGGCAAACTCTGGGCCCGGTGTCGAGCGTAGACGAGCTCACATGATTTCCAATTAAACACGTACCAGCGCATTATTACCGAAATAATTACGGGTAGCCGTTCGGGCAGGATTTGGTACGTCTTCACTTCGGATTAGTTGGAAAACTTGTTACTGGGTTTACTTTGAAAGCGGACGTCGACTACTTAAACACATACAACTATGTCCTCCTACATTGCCACTTTAGTTTGTCATAAGAAGTATACTGTGGCCTCTATTCAAGTTATCGAAAACCTATATAAATATTATACAAATAAAGTCAAGTGTAATCAATGTCCACTACGATAGCACTTGGACTGAAGTTATTTATGATGGTGCCCTTTGCTCGCCATTAACAATTAATTGCTAACGATGACTATACATCGAAATGAAGGTGTCTTTTACGACAACGAATTGCATTAGACTTAGGCCGACCGTGGGGTTGTGAATGAGCAGCTCTTTTTTAACTTGAACGTCATTAAATGGTTAAGTGTAAAGCAAGAAGATTTGCAGATTGTGGGGGAGTTGCAATGGAGATGGGCCTCAGCTTGCGACGTCGGTGATCCCTCTTAAGGTTAATGTAGTTAGACTCATCGCTGACTCGGAGTTCTGTTCGGAGCGTGCCGACGGGCTGAGCTCATTAAGAGAATTAAGAAGCGATTATTATTCTGTTCGTACGTGGAAGCAGAGAATCAAGGCTACGAGAACACATTGTTGGCGATGACCCTGGAGGTTGCCACGGCGGCTCATTCGGGGTACTTGTCCTTACCTGTTTTGCTGGAAGCTGGCAAGCGAGAGAGGTCCCCCGAGGTTTGCTGGTCCTTACAGCCGCATGAAATGAAGGTTCTGCCGAAGATGACTACGGCTCTATGCAAGCGAATTAGCATAACCACTCAGCTATAATTTGCGCAGCACATACGATTGTTACACGTACGGATTTAACGTTGTTGGGTTTATTTATGTTTTATCGAACACACAGATAACATGTTCAGGCGTATACAGATCCGAAACGAACGACATCACGCCTAGGCGTTTGTATCGGGTCAATTGTTGTCAGAATCGTTGATCAGTCGCCACTTAGAAATGCTTTAATTATTTTCGTTGGTTATACTAAACTATAATATCTGGCTAACTACATCCGTCCAGTAATATCGATCTGACACGGTTTTGCTTCTCGTCTTTACGCGTGTTTCAAACATCGACGGAAGTCATATCTGACGTAGCGGTACATATGGATCAAATGCATAATTAGCCAATGAAACGGCTAGTGGGCCCGCACAGAACGATCGGCTGGATGCTCTTCTCAATGAAGAACACCCTAGTCAGACAGCGATGAATGGATCAAGTGGAGAAGTATCGTAAAAATCTCGAAAGACCCGTTTGGTCCGGTGAGATTTGTTTTTGCCGTTGCGAGCATCGCGCGCTCCGGACGGCACAAAGCAAAAGACAACAGCGTTCGGAAGCGGCGCGTTAGAACAAAGGTACTCGTGCTGCTGCTGCTGCTGATGGTGATAGTGCGTGTGAGTGCCGAAGCTGGCCGAGAGGGGTTGGAAGTCGTTCGAGGTGGAGTTCTGAATAGGGTTGCCTTCAAAGACAGGCTTTCTTGACAAGAGGTTCCTCAAAGCTATACGCAAGCGTACGAATCAGCTTGCTCGTGCATGGTGTTTTACGCTAGGTGCTCTGTTAGGGGTAGCGCCGGTGGCAGCAGTGATGGGCCTGTCCCCGGGGGCAGCAGACGATGGTTATCGTAATGGATATAGATAAGGAGAAGCAGCAGCAGCAGCAGCCGAACGCACAGCAAAGCGAAATGCGGAGAATCGGGTCCGATGATCGGGGGACACCTCTACGAGAGACAACGTTGACAAGCAGATCACAATGGCAAAAAGTATATGCACGTTCCTCAATCAGTTTGTTTTAAAGACTTAGAACATCCTACAATTTACAGTTTATCCATCTATATATTTCGCCTTGACATAGCTTACTGATTCGTTTTTGTTTGTTTAGTTAGGGACGCAACGCACAACAAAAAGAAAATATTGAGGAATCCAGAATAATTTCACTGTAGATTTACTGGCAGAGATCACACCATACAAAATGGCTATGACCTACTAAGTTGATATCTTTCAGGTAAGGTACTGAATGGATGCCGTTACAGGCCTTTCAGCATTCGGTGGGAAAAAAAAGGTTAGTAACGGCACGATGCATCGATGTTTCGACGTTGTTGCATCCAGGACAGCATATTGAAAGAAACTAGTCAATTTGAATATAACTTGAGACACTGGAGATCCCTTCTCGCTGCAGAAACTTTTTCTCGGTCTGAGAAGCAACGATCACCGATAGAGCGCTCACGTCCATTGTTTTGTGTCTGTTCCCGCCCTGGTGCTTTTTGGCGTTTCGCCTGCCCAACGAGAACCAACTTCCTGTGCAAACGACGGTCACAGCTTAATTATAAACATATAAACAACTATATAGCATGATAGCAACACATATATTTGGTCATCAAAAGAATAACGAGCGCTACGCTATACCAACGTCGTTGATAAATATGCAAGGATATTGTAATAGGTTACCATAGTTCAACACACTGGCAAATTTAAATTTACTTACTTACAAAAAAAATACTTATTTACTCGTTGTTAAGTACATGAACCGTTGGAAGTTACGTTGTTCGCAAAAGCTCGCTATCAGAAACCTTTTCAACATTTCTATACAATCAAATATATTACACTGTTTTCACTTATTGATCTACTTACTTCTCTATCCGAGAACAGCTACTCGAACCTCAATAGGCTTATTAAGCATTCTTCTTAATAACTTACTTCATGAAGCTTTCCTATACACCCTGTTCGTGCATTGAAAATTCAGGCTAACTAGAGGCCGAATTGGATCACTTCGTACTTAGCAAAATTTGCATTTAGACTCAACGCAAATATTCTGCGGAGTCAATATAAAAGTTTGCGGTTAGTAACACTAACCTTCAGTCAGAACATAGGGACTTCAACTCACGATTTTCATCATTCCTCGCTTCTTGTACGCGAGTTCGCGTACTTTGCCATACAGAGCGCTGAAGTGGCCAATTATATCTGAAAATCTTTGTGAAAAACTCCTCTTATAGCCGATTCCAAGGGAAAACTGTGTTAGTCTTTCGAACGGTGCTAAATTTTGAAAAATTTTGGCGGATTTCGTGTTTTTAATTGTATCAAGAGTAAGAGCTGCTGCTTAAGTATAGGTCATTTTATTTAAAAGGAAAAAGGTATTTTAACTGCTAATCCGTAAAGTTGTATAAAGATACTGCGTTCATATGTTATCGTAAGTCCATCCAAATGTTTAAGTTCACCTCTAAAGCTCGATGAAGGCGTTGACAACGAATTTTTGAATACCTACAAGCCATCAAAGCTACATGAGGAGGCATCACCTGAAATCCTTGACCGGTTTATTAATTATAGATTTGTTATCACTGAACGCGGGCAAAATCTCATGTCTCTGCCGCACCATCTTTTGGTAGCTTTGCCCTCTTAATGCCCCCGAAAATGATTTACGATTTAACGTTTAACGTCATGCATGTTCTTCCAACCGGAACATCATTTCATACTATCCGAAGGTACATTCCATTACCATTCTACTACTTGAGGACAATCTTTTAGGACAAACCGGATGTCCGTAAACTCATAGGTAGATTCCTCATATGTTTTTATAACAAACGGCTCTTTGAGAGGTAAGCAAGCCTATCTTGGTATTAGAAAAAAGAGATAAATATCCCTCAACGACGAAAAATGTTGTAAATAGCAGCCGTGTTACCGTCGTTTCTCTAAAACCTGAATTGAGCATTTCATTCTATAAACAGGGCACACGTTATTCGGACGGCAATACCAGTTGTTGCTGTTCCTGTTTTCACGAAGTGCCCCTGTCTTATTTAGCCATGACCAAGTTAGGCTAAGAGGCCGTTTACTCGTTGATTTCTAATTCATACGAACTTTGTGCTTCGCAATGGTTGTAACGAATTCCCCTTCTGTCTTTGCAATCTCAGTCCAACAACAGTATAGACTTTGCGTATCTATGCATACATGTTACAATATATATTGTCTATTTGAGCGCAATGCGGAATGGTGAAAAGCTGCGATTCTCGTACGTGGGGGGCAAGGAGAGGAATAAGGCTGTCTCCTCCTCCTCTCTCTCTCTCTCTCTCTCTCTCTCTCTCTCTCTCTCTCTCGCACCCAAACACATACGCACAGTCACAGCCCAGATTCACCCCTTGTACTGACGAATTTTCCCTTTTTGTTACGAAAGCTCGAGTCTGGGACAAGTTTTCCCGACAAGAATAAGACTCCTTATTGACTGTTTAAGGGGATCGCATCTTCACTCACCGGCGGTAGCCAAGCAACACTTTCAAGTGGCAGACGATTCGAATGACTCGTAAGCGACTGCAAGATCAATGTGTGGGTTGTCCTCCCCAGACAAGCGTGAATGTGACGATATTTGTTTACTTTGTCCTTTTGCATGCATACGACGTCCCTCTGTAAAATTGACAAGAACACGTAGATGTTCTAACAGAACTTCTACGGCATAACCGTATGCATATCGTGCCGATTGTGAGCTGTACACTTCATTGTATGATTTCATTTTGAGAATGTGTAACACCGTTCCTGATAGATCTACCCACCGCAAACGGCTGCATGTAGCTCATATGGCGTACGGCAAACGACAAAAGGATATATCCAATTTAGAGAAAATCATGTGTCAACGAGAAACATATACATTTTTGATCGAAGAAAGCTCGTTTTTCAGTGTCGCTTACGAACCGCCGGGAGAGGTTCGAGAATACGTAACTGCCTCTTGAGGAGAAGGCTGAACGATACTTGCAACTTCCTTCCAAACGATCCACTTACACTGAATTCTTTTTGGCGCAAACTCTATGTGCAGATGTACATTACAATGCCTATAGATGCTTAGTTCGAAACCCAGAACTATGGAGCTATGGGTGTAAATGGGAGACAGATGTAAAAGTTACCTAGTATGCTTCTGCACGTATGTGTATAGATATACTATTAGAAAGCGTGAAGTTGTTGGCAAGAATTTAATTCGGTAGTAGCGAATACGTAAAGTTACCCCGGCCAAATTCAAGGATGGGATTCATGAAGCAAATCGCGCTTACCATGCACGTCTGTCTAGTTTCCGTTCTCTCAGCTACCCAAACCGCGGTGGCAATAGATGATGGGCGTAATACATGCACACAGTACAGGAGCGCAATTATCAATTGTGACGTTTCGTGCGGCTCTTATTTATAGCATTTACGACAACAGTCACTACGAGAAATAGAAAAATAGATAGTTGGTACATATTGTGAAAGAGAACTATAAATAAGTGCCAAAAATTTATTATGTTTTCATTGCCAACATTTATTTCGACGACAGGGAACGCGCATTGCTTCTTAGCTAGCCGTCCAAACGAACGGCCGAATTTTTCCCGGTTCGCTTTCGCCCCATCGAATCCAAACACGGCCGATCTATGGTATAACGGATCGAAGTAGTGACTGGTAGCCTTTGATAACGTTGTCACGGCAGAATGCTCTAGCGGCTACTCCCGTAACCTTTCCCTCATCGCCACAAACCTTAAAAATCTGTTGTCGATTAACTATATATATATATATATATATATATAATCTCCGTTAGTTACTTAATATAAACTGATATATGTGTCAATCCGCTTATAGGTGTTTATGTATAGATAAATGGGGGATCCTCACGAACGCTGTGGTCTTCGAGCGGTTCCTATCTGATGCAATCATACAAGTGGTGGGAATAATATACAGTACTATAACCAAAGTGATCTTTGTGCTGTAGCACAAGCAGCTCTTCGCTCAGGCACAGATACTTTAATTTAAAAGTTTTAATTGTTTTAAATTAAAAAAAATTTATTTATCTTTAAGAATCGCTGATGGCCACCTCATAGGCTCTTTGTAAGATTGCTACAAGTGATCAAGCAAGCTTGTACAAATATGGCGATAAACGTTAAAAACGTGAAGTAGGACGAGACAAATTCACAGAGGACATCCGGGATAGACATATCTCCATATCGCTTTTAATTTACACGAAATAAACAACTACTACTACTACTACTACTACGTAAGTAGTACGAACGCCGCGAATAGGAACTGGACTGTATTACACTTGATTGGCGAAGCTTAGGCATGCTTAGAAGTGTTACAGGTCCTTGCACAGTTTCCCAAAAGTTTTTGAAAGCGTTCTTGTCGATGGGAGCCGTTTTGTACTTTAAAGAATATTGAAGTCCGATGTTCTGACGCTGCTACGACGAAACTACACTGCTACATCGCCCGTTGCAATACAGGTAGATTGAGTCTGTTGCACCGCAAACACTACTTCTAATGTTCGAGACCCCTGAACACTTGAAACGCCTGAATTAACCTCTACTACACGATTTCCCTCTCCTCATTGACCGCCCCCCACCGCCTACGAGGTGGCTTCAAAATTCAGTGTGATACACTCACTTTTTACGTTTAACGCAGACTCTCCTCCCAGACCGGCGCAGGTATTTCTCCCTAGTTGCTTCTTTTTCTTCTTCTTGCTAACTCGCCTTCGACCCCGGAGTCGTGGTAGCCTTCGCCGTCGCACATGACCAGCCGCCTCTTTCGCTCACTCCGCCTGAAGACTGAACTGGATAGAACAACAATGAACATCGTGAATGCATCAAGCGGCGACTACTAATAGCGTTAAACATTCACGACTTTGCTGACGGTCCGCTTCGTCTCGATGGACAACAAAGAGGACGCTCGGAGGCTTAACGACCTCGCTAGTTTACTCGCTTTTTCTCCGTCTCCCGTTCCCCCGAAAACGGAGCCAGACGCGTGAGTCAGGTGACGCAGGAGTCAGGATGGTGGGTGAACAGTAAGACTGTTTGATAGGCAGGCGGTAGCGGACACTGCGCAGAAAGATGTAACACAAAGGTCATCAGAAGAGCGCAGTCGACAACTTGGCTGAGTGGGTCGTGTGCCTCAGAATCGGAAAATCCATGTCAGACATGGGACACCCATTGCGATACACAAACACAGCGATACACAGAAGCGTAGTGGGCACCAAATGGCAGCATTGCCGTTCCGCTGGACCCATGCCGAACATACCTCAGTGACTTGCCGCATAGGCCTTGTTGGACATCCTCTGGTCCTGCCGTGCTGCTGATGTTGGTAATAAATTTATAATGTTCTTGTCTTGTTAGAGAGCTGCACTACTTACCCCCGGGATCTCTCTCAGCCTGGGCAGGCCAATCGCGACTCGCTCGATCTGTACTGCATCGACATTACTGAACGATCGGCCCCCTATCCGCCAAAAGATCTACCTGATCTGACTCTGGAGCCTTTGCTGGACTCGATTCCCGCCTGTCGGTTCGATTCATCTGGAGCCTTCTGGTGTCCCTCGGGAGTCCAACCTGTGTCTATCGGCCCACTTCGCAGACTATCGTTAGTCTTTTTCTGTGCGTCGTGAACCCGTCGCTACTGGGTGCCGTAGAGCTCATGAATTTCACATAGGAATTCATACATACACACGCATACAGCAACTAATGTGGAGAAGATCAGCTGCGATTTTTCTATGGTAGGAGACAAGTCATCCGATTTCCATTCAAACTCTATAGATGTATCGTTTAGAGGAGTCAGGTTGTCCTTCCTTTCTACGACGACGCTTTAGTTCGTTGGAAGCGGCGTCTGAAAAGCAGGTGCAGACTATGAGAGGTAGCACGTTCTGCATACGATTAAAATTTATGACAATGGCATCGCCGTTTTGTAGAACGTGATATGAAATCATTACTTTGCCAATTACTTACTTAAGTATCTCAAAAGTCACGTAATTGTTCGCTTTTAATGGGTTTAGCTTTCCTCTCGTCTTGGATAACTGTAAAATCAGATATCAGATCATGTTTACTTCAATTACCAATAACATGGCGTCGTATGCTGTAGGCATATACAGTCGAATGCAGAGCTCGGACAGCACTAGACCGACCGTTCCACTGAGCATCAACGTTCCGACTGAAGTGTCGGCAAAAATCTTCACAACATCATAGTAAATCAATCTGCGATTCAGGATATTTCAAAGGCAAGAAAATTATTTCGGCAGTTGAAAAATATAAAAATATTGAAATTTAACAGATTAGCTATGGATTCTGCTTGGCAGAACTTGGTTAGTTCGCGTTTCATCAATCGACCGAGCTTAGCGGACGTAACATCTGCAGTATATAAAAGCTACGTACATAATGAGATTCAAGAACTTCGAAGATCCTTTTCAAAGTTCCAACGTGCTAATCAACGGAACTAGTCTTCACCAAACAGGTAAAATTTTTATCACTTAGTTTAGATAATGTGGTATATTGTCCATTATGTAGGTACCACGCATTTGCATATTTAGCATTGCGCTTGATCAGAACTGAGCTCAGATAATGCTAACAATAAGGAAGCAGAACTTCTGTTCTTTCTGGATAAATTAAGTTCATGATACGACAAATATGACGTCTGCGATATTTTGGTGCACTTGGAGCTATCCAGAGAAACACTATGTGTGAAGCTCTTCCGTAATGTTAAATGACGTGAGGTGTAGATACGGCAAAGAACGTAGGGCGGTCTTAAAGGAAAATTCAAAATTCTTCTACATAAAGACCCTAGAGACGGGCAAAAATAACTACAGCTATCACAAAAACGTAATACGTCAATAATTCCTATCTCATTCGAAATAAACCGGATTCTAAAGGAAAAATGTAAGGGGCAAAGCCAGCAGGTCAAGCCAAACATAATTATATGCGCTTAGCTTAAGGTTCCCCACCGAATATCTTTCACAAATCGAGACCTTTAAAGGACTGTTGTTATATGTGCAGCACAGCACAAAAAACAGGCAATTGTACCTAGTTTTATGTAAAAAAAAAATCGGAAGCTTAATATTAACCTTGGTAGTGCTTTTTAATAGCATGTAGAATCAAACCCAAAAATAATGTAAATCCGACCTTCGCTTGAGTTAATCAGTTACCCTGTAAAGCTAGACGACCTATATGGTAGTATATGTAGTACGCTAAATCACAGGGATTTCCGTGCAATACCTAACGGATAGACGATATTTGTTCTGAGTACATTTGGCGATCATAATCTTCTTGAAATGAGGCGACATCTAATAGCTTAGATATGTTTCTGTGGTATGAAAAAAAACCTACTTTTGCGCTTAGTTCTATGCACGTACATGTATCAAATCTATAATATTGTAAAAGACAAACATTACGCAACTAAACTGTTGCACGATAACTTATCTGTGACGTGTATTCTTGCTGACAGTATATGTACTCCTCTAGCATCTTTGACCCTGATCTACTAAACGTCAGCTTATCCTACTACCGATTCAGAGATTGGGTCAACGTGTCGAGAGGATTGTGGGTTGTTGAAGGAAGTTGGCCCTGCTGACTCTAATTGGAAACATGGCTAAGACGTTGGAGGAAAACCGCCACGAACCCAACAAATATGGATATGCTATTGACTGTTGAATGAAGCCGTTTGTAAACGTTGGCAGTTGGCTCTGAGTATTTGTCATCGTCAACTAGAATGATACAGAAGCTCGTGTTACAAAAAACAGCTTGCGGTAAAAGTAAGAAGGAAACAAATAGCAGATCGACATTACTGAACGATCGGCCCCCTATGATCTCAGTAACAAAAGGCTCTGTCGAATTTTTTGCATGCAAATCTGTAGTATATAGGACAACAGAGCCTTGAAAAAAGAAAGCTGACTTAGAAACTATCTAATCACCCGAAAAAAATCCTAGCAATAGAATCCACGTCTATTATCATAGATGGTAGGTTCATGATGACAATTGCAGGACTAATAAACTGTAAAATAAAGAAAATGAGCTGCAAAAATGTATGTCCAAGAGACCGCACCCCGGGGTCTGTGACTTGTGCTTGGCTACATACTGTATATGATATTTTATACGTCATGCAAGCTTACCTGCTTAAATCAAATAGTGCTAGTGTTTGATTCAAATTTAGACGCTAGCGCTGGTCAGCTCCTGTGGGAGCTCTGTTCTCCTTGGCATAGTCGTACAGCGTTGAACAGCTACTGAAAAGCGCTTAGTGATGAGGGCGTTTGCATTTGACCCAAATGGGTCTTCAGCAGGGGAAATGTAGGCTAGATGTGTGGTTTGTTCAATGTTCAGTCCCATCCCGTTGCTCTTTGCTTCCGCAGTCTCGTTAGGAATGCACGGGAGCCGAGTTCTCCAACAACCCATGCGTGTTCAGCGCGGTCTACAAGAGACCCCTAGGGCTTTACTGGTGATTTCTTAACCGAGCAACGAGAGGCTGAATGTAGCTATAATTAGATCGGTGATCCTTGCTGGCAGCGGTGGAGGCTTGCTTGTTTGAATCTTACCAAAGAAACTTACACCTAAGAGATAGGATCCTATTCCTAGCTAGTCTTCCTATTCCATCACACATCAATCAGCTGAGCTACAGCGGCAGAACTACCAGCAGACAACGCGATTGTAGCTCTTGCGACTCCCTTTGAGCCTCAACCTCAGTTCGTAACCCGGGGAAGGGGAGCTACAATCAATATATCACACGAACAGACCAAGGATCGTCGTGAAATATTATTAGCTGGTCTTACAAAAATGGCATGCCTGCGTCAAGCCTTCAAGCCTTAAATATTTCTAAAATAAATAACTTCGTTGAAGTCCGTACGAAGGCCCATTATTGAATGGGTGTTGGGGATGTCTAAAATAGCGCTAAAATAGTGTTTTAGATAGTGGCCTAATTTCTAAGATAAAAGCATCATATGTCTAGCCTTAATTAAACATAGTAGTAGCACATGCTCTATTTGAACAGTATAAGTTTCAAACGTTAAACTGTAATCTAATTATCATTATATGAAAAATGATCGGGTAAAAATAAAACATGTATAATCCCAACTTTGTTCCGAACGCAAATTTTGTTTTAATAGCCTAGATGCTTATTAGGCATTCCTGATAGGAGAAAAATAAAATTCTATTTAATTTTAATATCGTTATGCTGCCGCCGTACGACAAGCCTATTAGGCGTGTCATCACAAAACTGTCCATTTTGTGGCGTACTACCTATACTTTTTTCGTACTCTAGGTTTTGAGTCTAAACATGAGATTGTGTGAAGTGGCTTTTTCTGAGACCTGTATCCTGCAAATTAACACTAACTCATCATGAATTGTACTCGATTGACGGTAAAGTTTTATGTCCACCTTAGTCCCGTTCTCCTCTAAAGTTGTTTTTAGTAGTCCTAGTTCAATCAACTCAACAACTGATCTAGTTCAGTAGTAATAATACCGATGACACCGAAAAAAATACGAGCCTTTTTATTATAAGCTCGGTATTCCATCGTTGTATTCTACTGTTTGCACTAGGAAGGTCCATTCCCTTTCGAAAAAAGATGACATCTCGACTTTGAACTACATAGAACCTTTTTACTGTCCTTATTTCATTACGTAAAGCTCCTGCGTCCTGGTGACCTTTGAAATTCACATGCCGTTTGGATTGCATTACCGTTTTTAACTCACTCTCTTTCTATTTTAGCTACAATTTTCCTTTTTAAAAACTGGGGGATTTCCGCTGCTTATTACAACCCTGAAGGTTTCGATCTAACCAGGATTTCCGCTTTCTTGTAAAAGTAAAACAAAACGTATTCTATATCTAATCGGATTCGCTATAATGAGCACTGGGGTAGCCATGTTGGAGAAAATCCGCTGTTATACTACAAACACAGAAGACTGTTTGAAAAATCACATCTAAACGATCAAGATGTGTGACATAACTACTAAGATTGAAAGTTAGGTCACTAACAAGTATATCAAGTGACGGCTGTCGTTGCACTTCAGTATATAATACACAGAATACCGTATAATGAGGCATTATTAACTTGTTCAGTATAATACACCCATAAGCCTAGAAGGTCAAGTTGAAGTGTCATCTAGAAAATAAAAAAAGGGGAAAATATACATGCTTTAATAAAGACAGCCAAGTACAGAAACGCAATAACTTAGAACGGAACTGTAATAAGAAAATTAGAACTTAATCCGTTAAGTGTCCGAATGAAGTTTATATCAATCAATGAGTTTTGGCTTCGGTAAAACGTTCTTGATGTAGACAGGTCATCTGGAACAACAATTTGTTAAGACATTTACACAGTGAGTTAGTTATGCTGGTGTCCTATCAACTGTGCATACGTAACAACGCAGTTATGGAATAATGTTGATGACGCATCAGCATTTGTCTGTCGATCATGCTTTATACATTTGTCAAGAAATCCGCCAGATACGCTAAATCCGCTAGATAATTGGAAAACTTCAATTATTTCTCACCTTTTTCTCGTATTCTAGACACATCCATAGTAGTATCTGTTATCTAAAGCAACATTACCGATATAATTTCAAGCTTTTTTCCTCTATACTCTAGAGGGAATTTTAGATCTAGCAATTTTATCGCAGCGTTGTATTGTAGCTTGTTACACCGTACGCATTCGTAGATTAGGATATCTGGCGGTTACCCCTAATCATGATAAGGTGGCCATATCCCGCTGTAGAAATGTTACCAATCAATGTTATCGATTGTTTCGAACGAGAAAGCAGCTTTCAATTAAAAATCACTCAATGTTTTGTACCATATACAATTTCTACTCTAAATCAGCACGTTTAAAGTTAGGTTGGAGCCTTAACCCCGCTCAAAATGAAGGTCAGTAGCGAAGTGGAAGCGCAGCAGGACCGTGTCTGCGACAGGATTATGTTCGTAATGGGGCAGCGTATCGACAATGGTAGTAAAGCTTTTTCCTACCATTCCGCATCGCCATAAAAGGGACGAGTGATGTGTTTAATCTACACGTAAATAAACACAAAATCCAATTATGAACGGGTTAATCCACCGAAATAGAGATCGAGGAAAGCCTTACGTGTTCAGCAGCGCTTGCGAAGTCGAGAGACGTAGAAATTACTTCGAAAATTCCCAGGAAATTCGAACATACACCAATAGGATAAGCAAATAGGTTCTCTTAAATACAGGTATTTTCTCAGCTGAAACATTTCGCGAAAGATCAAGCTCAGTCGGGTTTTTCACAGCGTAACTGATCTTCCGTAAACGTCTCGTTTATTGATTCTAACTTCATTTGAAAGCTATCTAAGTTGATTCGTGAGGTGTGCGATTCAATTTAAGCAGTGTCCCTATATATATATATATATATATATATATATATATAACATATTTCACTACTTCAACCAAATTATTACTAAAAGACAATTTCATAATTCCAGCTGTTTAGGTTGACTCTTAAGTGAGTCGTTACCTGATCCCCTGCAGAGAGAACCTCTCTCCTTCCCCTCCCTCTATGAGTAGTACCACTTGACTGCCAACTTCTCGCACAGCGGGACCCGTTTTGAAGAGTGCTGCCTAGAGGACGGAGTAAGTAACGACCCATTCGTTTACACAAAAGGCGGACCAGCAGGCGTCGTAAGGTACCAAGTGGTAAAACATATATATATATATATATATGTGTGTGTATATGAAGCTTTCAAGTTCGGACAAACTTCGACGGCCTGTTTATCGTAGCGAGTATGCACTCCTTAGCTCTTGTGGATTGACTTCAGCTTTAAAGCACTCAAAGAAGCACGTGGATGTTTTGTATAAAAATTAAAGGTTGTTTTCCAGCGGAATTCATTTTGTTACTACAGCCATGATCTTGCGCCTCATCTAAAAGGTTATGAGGAGCGTTTCGAACATTTACTCAAAACAGGCAATGGATCAGTCTACTGAATAGGCCGCTTAACACTCTGCCCGACCAACAACGCGAGACAGCATGGTTCGCCGTCGGTAAAACACGAATCGTTTAATTTTGCTATCGCCGATTTCCTTCAAGGTGTATTTTGACAGGACAGTCCATATGTCCGGTACCTCATAATAGATTACATTGAAAAGCCGCTAGCATTACTGTTGATCCTCAGCAGCGACAATCAGACAATCACGAAAAAAGCCCATACAACGCAAGCTGGACAAAAAAAGTAACAATTATTGTACAAAATGGGTCCACTGAATAAACGGGAGCAATAGCAACCAACATATTAGGGTGCATAGTGCAAGTCGTGTACATTGTCCTATTGGCCATTTTAGCACCAAGTTCAATTATTTTTTTTTTTTAAATAGCAGGACATATGGGGTGCCTTAGCAAATTCTTTACGAGAAAATCACTAGAGCGTTCCAATAGAAAAGAACGACGATTCCAGCAGCGTAACGAATCTCCGATGGGACAGGGTAATAGAAGATGATATTCTAATCAAAGAGTTGCAACAAAACCCTGTAAAAGGATCACTTAACCATCGAGTACTAGTTTCTGCTGGCCTGTGTGTGGCCCATGTAGGGGCAGGCTAATAATACAACTGCAAAGTGAGATTATCATTATTGTTGAAACCTTTCACTGAAAGTAAGACGATATACGAGCATAGCTGTTGCTACTGCTGACAGATTCAATAAAACGACATAATGCAGTTGGTACTGCAGGATCTCAAGGGATCTTGAAACGTACGCCGCCAGCCTGCGCACATTATTTAGTCAAAGGCTATGTAAAAAATAAAATACCGGCCAATTAAATCCGTCCGCATCACGACAAACTCATGAGATAACGGCTAAACGGTTACGGATTAGGTTGACAGGAAAATTGCGAAGGCGTAGCCGTTGCTACATGTTATGATGCCCGGCCGTACTAACCAGGATCAAGATGAATTAAATCACCAACAAAACAGGCGCGCTGTTAAGTCCATCAGTCCTTTTAGCCTGATACATATCGAAGACATGACATTTCACAGTGCAGGATAGAGCTCTCTGAGCAAGTTGTATAGCGTTTTTGTCATACTAAAAGTATCGAGTGGCAGGTTTCTCGCAGCCAAGATGGCTCCTTTGAATAGGCCGCTTGGACTGATGCAGCCTGCAAGACGAAGTTAACATTTCTTTCCTAGAGAATAAAACTTCCCTCCCCGTAAAGTCCTAACTTTGCGAACTTGTAATTTTGTAACTTGGGCAAACAGACATATTTTGGCAATTTGCTTGACACTCACGGAGAATTGATCAAACGTTTATATTGCAAAAGTGCTTTTCAAGCAACGTCGGTTTTCAACTTTTAGTACTCTTCGCATAGTCGTGACGTAATGATTTTTCCAAATTGCTCATCATAACTTAAAGCATCGCGGTCCATACATTTACCAGTGTGAATACTGTTTCTAAAAAGGGGTTTTTTTTTTATGGAGAAGGGGTGGCGGCATGATGTCCACAATGAACGTATATTTTTCTAACTAATAGCGACGATTAAAATAGAGAAGCAAGATAAATAAGACAGGGTACTGAGACATTGTAACATTGTTTTAATCAGAGAGCCAAAATAAGTAAAGAAACATACGGAGTCGGCGTTGGGTAAATCCGTAAAGCGGCGCGACATGCTACGGCGTAATTGGAGATTAATTTTACACGCTATAATTGAGTAATTTGCAATTGCCGATTTTAAAACCGAGCGGAGTTTGTTTTTTAAGTAGCAGGGCAAATGCCATGCATTAAAGGACAGATTTCAACAAATTGTGCCACTTGCTAGGGGGTCCTGAAAGCGAAATCGTTCCACAAAAGTGACCATCCACTGCTGAAGCTAACAGAGTCACTGACCCCAAATGAGAAATATATGATCCTTTAGCCAGACAGAATTAGTATGACAGGATTTCAGGGTAACTTTGGACCGGACGTTTGTTAAAGTATAGGTGAAATGTAACAACAATGAGCTAGGTGCAACAAGGATCTCGTGCAACAAAAAAAGGACAAGCTGATGAGACAGATCGCTGCAGCGTGCCGGTGAGATTGTTGGCACATTCTATTGGGAGAACGGGATATGTAAGATAGGATCTCCGACACGCGGAAAAAACTAGAAAGAACGTAATGAGATAGTTGCAACAAGGTCGATGCTGTAAAAACAGCACGATAATTGTAAATCTGCAGCTTTGTAATCGAATTATACTTTGTTTGACTAGATGCAGCATGAGTCATATCTTTCTTTTACCGCTGGTGTCTATTTGACTATGAACTCCATCTTTGAAATTATCTCTTTCGGCCTTTTTTAGGATTAGATACACGTACGTCAAAGTTGTAGAGATTGGTGTAAACGACA